TTTTTTTCAATTAATTTTTTTCTAATGCACAGCATTAATGAGTATTTTTTATACTAATAAACTGCATCGACTATTTTTTAATTATTATTTTTTATACTTCAAAAAATGTGAATAGCAGATTGTATTTGTTTTTCTTCAAGATATATAGGCGATTCTGTATTACAATTAAAGAATTTTATTTTTCAACAAAATTTAAATGTTTAATAAAAACATATAATTATAAATAAAATATCAAAGAAGAAAACATATTTTTCTAATTTCAGCTCTTTCAATGATAAAAACAGATAGAACTACAATCATTGAAAATTTTCTACTAATAGAAATAAAGCATTTATTGAAGAATGAATATTATTCTTTTTTCTTTTTGGCTTCAATCGGTTCAGTATGTTGTGCTTGTTTACATTGAATAATTGTTACAACAAATCCAAGAATATTTAATAGAAAAAGAACCCATTGATAGTAATTTAATTCCACTAGAATTTCTTCCGATGGTGTTTCAGCTGATTTCGCTTCTAAAGGTATTGCACGTGTAAATGTAATAAACAATAGAGTAAAGAATTGCATCGCTCTGATAATACTTGTTAAATGATGTTTGATTGGAGCTTTTGTTGTAAATATTTTCCATAGATCACCAAGAGTAGCCCAAATTGTTAGTGGAATTGTTAACAATGTAAATAAATTCCACCATTTCCATATCGGTGCATTGACTTTGAATAATACATAATCTTGATAAAGTTCGTGTTGTTTTTCATTGAGAACATAAGTTGATAAACTGTATTCAATTGTTTGAATTGTTAGAAAATATGTACTGAATAATATACCCATGACTATTGGAGAGATCGATTGACTCATGTTGGATAAAACTAGAAATGAAGGAATGATATTTAATAGACGAGATTAATTTATATATTTACTTGAATGTGGTAAGTCGGTTGTATTCTACTATATATGTAAATGAGAAGGACACGAAAAAAACATTTAGATAAATAGTAAAGACTGATAGTGAGCGTGGTAGTGTAGTTATTCAAGCAAGCAGGCATGTATCTCACACCCACACACTCTTTGAATATCAATTATTGCCGGTGAAATACAAGCAAAAATACTCTAATTAATATGTATATAATCGATTTTTTTGTAATGCTATAGAAAAGAAATGTTTACATGGCAAAACGAATATTTAGATTTTTATCTTCAACAGACCATGTCAAATATCAAATACACCTATTATGTTACATTCTATAATGTAACATAAGGCAAGACTAGATAAGAAGTTTTGCATATATATATATTCGTTCTCTTATTTTTTTTTCTCTTTCTCTCTATATATGTTGCTTTGTTATGACAGATGGTTTTTTTGCTATTTTTTCTCTTGATTTCTTCTTATCATTTATATTTTAGATATTCTTAACAATGTCTGAATTCGTTACAAGGGTTTATGTGTTATTTTTCATATTCTGTCTTTCAGAATCATAGAGTAAAAGAACGGATTGTCATTTATTATTTTATTTATTAAACTGGATTAAATAAATATCTATGCTATCGATAGCGCTAATAATAATTATAAAAGAGTTCATAAATATATATGATTGCACGAAATATGAATGGAATTAAAGTTCCCGGACGCGCATCACTTGTATGATTTTATCGACGATAAACTAGAAGAGAGAAAAAGGGTGAAATGAATTAATACTTGAGAAGAAATGGTATATACTCGAGCTTCGCCTGTATTTTGACATGGAACTGTTGATTCATGTGATGGATCTTTCTTGCTAACTCCAAGTACTTTTGATGCCTGAAATAAATAGTGAATACGATTCATTAATCGTTCATGAAGATAGATTGATATAGAACTTACTTTTAAATTAATATGAACTTTATCTGGCTCATATGTAATAGTAGGTGGTCCCTTCAAATCTCTATAGTGACACTGTAATTCGATCTGATAGTCATCTAATGAATCACCTGTTCCAGTCAAAATTAATAATCGTCTAGAAAATTAATTGATCTATGATATAAAAATAAAATAAACGATGATATTTACTTGAGACTAGACATAAGAATCATCGATGCATCTTTAGTACAATCTATATGAGCAATATAAATATCCATTGCACCGTGTTTTTCACCTTTCAATTTCTATTCAGAAAGATATATAAGAATAATTCACTGAAGAGAAAACTTTATCAAAAAAGACTTACCTCATAAATACGAAATCCTTTGATTTCATGAGAAGTTGAAGGTCGAATAATACCATCACGACCAACATGTCGTGGAAGTCGCATTCGATGAATAACTTCTTCATGTATAGCCAGTCTACGAAGATTATAGAAACGATCTATTCAAATGATTTCATTCCATTGAAAGATCTTATCCTACCGTTTAATCATATCAAACGATGTACTAGTAAAATCAGCCACGCCACTTGCTGGTCGTGCAACAAGACCAATAAAACCTTTACCCAAACCTTTGACAAAACCAGCTGCACCTCGTTTTTTCGCACCCGCTACTGGTTTCTTCACGATACCTGTAAAACCATGTAATACGTCCTATGAACAAAAAGAAAACAATTCGTGATGTATATACTAATCAAATACGAACTTTGCCGATGTTTTTTCCACTAGTAATCACGCCAGAGACAGAATGACCAGTTAGCTCTTTACGTACGATACGCGAATTTTGGTAGTCTTCATCAAATGTTAATGTTGCTAAACCTTGACTTGCTGCACCTGTAATCTTCGATAGAGCACCAGCTGCGCCACCAACGGTAGAACTAACTAAATTTCCAGTACCGACTGCAACACCTTCGATGAATTCAATGGGACCTTTCATTGCACCCTGAAAGAAAAACAAACGAAACTTTAGTTAAACAAAAGAAATGATGGGTTAACACTTGCCTTGTATGGTTCGTAGAAGAATGATTCAACACCTTTACCGACTCCACGTATAACACTGAATGGATTTCCTAGGACATCAAGACCAAGTACAACAACATGTAGTTGTCCCATTAATTGACTTTGATAATGATTGCGTATTTCTTCCAATAATTTGGCATTAGTAAATTGTTCGTTCTTTCGTTCATAGCAGTTCAATCTACATCAAAATGCTATAGATTTAATTGCACCACTAATTCACATACTTTAATACAGCATCTTGTACTTCTGCTATATTCAATACATTTAGTAAGAAATCGACGATTGGATATTCAGCTAATAACTGTTCATTTGCTGATGTACCGTGCATGGAAAAACTAACGTGAATCTATTGGATGGAAATGGTTAAGATGAATATATATATATATCGAAGAATATTTATTATTACCTTTAAAGGAGATAAATGTAGGTTATCAATGAAGATTTTCGGTTCTGTTGGAAGACTGTTAGATTGAGCATCCGTAATTGCTTCTAATGGCTTATGAATACGTTGCAAGTCACGTTCCATATTAATTGTGGGTGCTTCATTCGTCTATGAACGTCAAATCAACATGCACGATTACAAAAAATGAAGAAAAAAAACTACAATGAACCTTTTCATGTTTAACAAAGCCAAGAATTGACATGATTAAGGTTTGATCAACACAAAAGGCAAATTCTTGTACCAGTAAGTTTAAGTATCTAAATAATAATATTTAGAAAATCTTTTATCAAACTCGAACGTACTTAATATTTTGTGTATTAGCTCGCGCAGATTCCGTTTTAAATAAACTGAGTTCAATGAACGGTTTACCAGCTACAAAAAAAAAGACAATCGTTCTTTTCGCATGTTGATCATTGATTAAAATGAAACATACGTAAATCAGTGCCCAATGCTTTGGAAATAATTGGATTTAAAACAACAGGATAGAGTGTAAATTCTTCTGCATAATCAATTTGAAAACGATTGATGCGTAGATGTAGTGCTTGATTCGTTGTTGACCAAGCAAAACTAACCCATAATCCATCGAATGATTGTCGTTGAAGAGTTACTCGATGATCAAGGTGATCACTCAACTCCGCTGTATTTTCATCGAATGAAACATTCTATAAAAAGAAAATTTGATTAATGGAATTTTTTCGAGATCAGGTAAGAGCATCTTACACGTTTATCATCAATACGATATTTCTTCTTTGCTAATTCTTCATCGTTCGGATTCTCCTCTAGATTTTTGATGTACTTTTTATAATGTTCATCTATATGATGATCGAGATTTCTTGAAAGTGGTATGACATTTGCATTTCTTGTTTCTGTCCAGACTTCTTTTGATTTATTAATAGTAATATAAAATAAATCACTTCGAGCAATATCATCGATCACTGAAATACCAATATCACGAATACCAATTTGAATATGCTGACTCATTTTTTCAGCTAACGATGGCATCTAAACAAAGCATGAACTGATATTTCGAATAAATTAGTCATCTGATACACATACATGAGTTGCTACATCGATAATATCAATATCTTCAGCAAAGATTAATACCATTTGAGGACCATCGTGAAATGTGGCATAATACACTGTCTGTTGATCATTTGTTTCTAGTTTACCACACAGTGGCTATAAAATACATAGAGTTTAATAGTTTTACTATTCATAAATTTTATTGACATACGTTCAATTCAATAGTAGCAGTTGGACCATCCGAGGAAATGACTAAAGATCGTGGTTTCAATTGATCCATCCATGTATAATATACATAATGTCGTGGTGATAAAACTTGTATTCGTCTATGTCGATAGAATTATAATTTCGTGAACAAGAAGCGTAATATACTTACATATCTTCCGATTGACAGAATGTTATCGGTCGTTTTTTCAAACAATTAACTAAAAGAATAGGTGAATCACCGATCTTATAATCACCAAAAACGATACGACATCCATTGTTATCACTAATAACTACGTCATTTTGAAGTGCCGGACGTTCTCGATCATCCATATGCAGTAAAGTTCGTTGTTTTTCCTTGAATACGAATGTCGAAATGGCGAGAGGATTATGTGTGTAACGAACACGCATGAGACCTTGTTCAATGTTACGTGGCCAGAATGGAATAATCTAAAATCGTATTAATTATTAAATAATCAATTAAAGAATTAACTTACTCCTTCAGGTTTGATTAATTTCCATTGTTCTTCTTCTTCTCCTCTGGTCGTTTCTACTTCCGTAACTTCAACTTCAATCTAGATTTCACAAAATCAGATCATAGTAAAAGAAATAAGATCATACCGTTGATTTATTAATAACCATGGTCGATGGAGCTAGTGTGATAATTTTCGTCATACCAAATGAAGACGTAGCAATATCAACAGAAACCTATCATTCAGATCAATTATAAATATGATTAGTTGTATAGATTATTCTTACTGTATAAGTTCGATCATTCGCTACTTTACAATTAACCATTTCAGTAATTTTAATTGTGTCCAATGAAAAACCTTCAGACCAATCAGATAACTTTTCATTTTGTTCGTTGCTGAACAATCGTATATGACCCTAAAGAAAGAATATTCAAAGATTTCTTAGTCTTTTACTGTCTAATTTACCTTTTTCTTTTTACTATCCAAATTTTTCGGGCAGACAAAAAATGGTGGTTCAATTGCTTCGATCAATGTTTTTTCGTTTTCAATCTAAAGCAAATACAAAACACATTCTAATGTTAATCAGCAAGAATATAGACATACCTTAAATTCAAATTTCAAATCTGTACAATTCAAGACCCAGAATACAGAATACAACGAAGCACGATATGATTCTCGATAGATATCTACACGTAACATTAATCTCTAAAAAAAAATAACAACTGATATCGACTCAGAAGTATACAAACTAATTCGATTCGTTACCAATGATTCTTGTGAGCTAGTACTATGAAATATGAGGACGTAGTCCTTGAGTTTGGTGTTCGTTTTCAAGTTCATGTCCATGGGTTCGGATATCCATTTAGCATCTTTATAATATGGAATCTAATATAGAGAGTAACATTCAGTTAGGAGAGGCAATGAGCAGGAGAATACATACCACAAAAGTCAGCATGGATCTTTTGTTACCTGAAACACTGTGATACAAATTATTTGGTTCTAGTTTCACTTGTTCGACATCCTAAATATCAGATTTAAATGATATCGCTTTGATGACGACAGTAACTTCACTTACATCGATCCAACATTCAACATCAAGTGATAATAGATTAATCAATTGAAGAGCCAATTTGAAGTAGATGTGTAATGCCGTTCGATTAGGTTCATCCGTATTTTCTAAACATGCTTCTTTTGATTCTTTGTAGAACTGAAATAAAACTCGTGTCATTTCAAAATCTTAGAATTCCTCATTGAAATATTATACCACAAAGTAGGCATCTCTGCCATTATTCAATTTCAAACGACGATCAGCAGCAGATTCACTTGTCCAATTAAAGGCAATACAGTCATGACCATGAGTATTCAATTTCGCACTGTATAAAATCGATCATTATAAATCAAGCGAGAAAGAGAGAATCTTACTCGTCAATAGTAATAAATAGTCGTGGAGTAATGCGAGCATAGAGTAAACTCAATGGAAGATAGAGTTCACCATCGGGTTCGATACGGCTAACTTCACGAAATGTTCCTAATTCTACAGAATCAATCTCTAAGATTATTATTGGCATGATCGCACGATTCAACACCTACAATGACCAATAATAAAGTAAGATAATATTCTACGAATAAAAGCTTACTTTAATAATAGAACTAAGAACAATACGTCGACGATCTTTATATAAATGAGAATCACAAAGTAATTGAATTGGCCAGCCTGTAATAGGTGATGGACCGATATCAAATATTCGTCGCCATGTTTGATTGATATCTACAGTTTTTTCTAGATTACTCATCTAAATCATTATCGAGATATATCAATGAAATCCTTGGAAACATATCAGATTCAATTACTTTAATTGAAAATTCTTGCTTTCGATTGGCAATTTGATCCGATATTGCTGGAATTCGTGTTGCTGATAATCGTTCTTTCGGAACTGTCAATGGAATTGAATCCTTATGTTCCAAATGAACTGGAGTTGTTAAATCACTATCTTCCAGAAACTTTTCAAATCAAATATATTCATATAAATCTATTTAGAGCAATCATCAATAAATGTTTTTACCTGTACACCAATAATATGATCAATATCGACTACTTCTCCGGTCATATTTAGGATTGATAAGAAAGCTTTATCTTCATCACTATTTCCATGTGACTTTTGATTATAAGCTTGATCGAGTATACCCGACAAACGTTGAGTAATATCTAACATAGATTTTGTTACAGTCAAGTTGAGTAGATGTTCAGCACGAATAAATATAACTTGTTTAGCATCTAAACTCAATTTCTCTTCTTGTTTTTGTTGCTTATTATTATCCGAGAATGATTTCGGATCGTCTAATAAGAATCGAGACTAAAATAGTAATAAATTAATAAACTGTAAAATTGACTATTCCCAAACTTACGTCTTTATCATTTTCTTCCTCGTCTTCACACTAACAAAATGAAAAATAATTAAAAAACCAATCATTCGATTAATTCAATCACTTACATTATAAGTTGAACATGTAATACACCATGGACATACCACATTACCGTTGCCATCCAATACCGGTTCAATCAATGGTTGCCAAGCGAGTAAATTTTCATTAAATAAAGCTAGTTCAATGTAAATTGTCGATGAAATATCCATCTAAATCAACGAAAGATTACATAGTTTGAAAATGAATTCTAGATACATACATCAGTCGACCAATTTTCCAATTCCAATGACATATCCGAAAGACACATAGCAATCATGGGTTTTGTTATTGTACCTGCACCAAGTTCAAGTCTAATTTCTACTATTTTCGAACTCACAGTTAACTAAAACTAACGACATGAATGAAATTATCTTCTTCTGTTATATCCTACCGCTTGTGAACGAATATTTTGTACTTGTAATTTTTGTTCTTTTTCTTTCTGTTTACGCGCTTCTTCCATCACTGGCTTCTTATCCGAAGGAGTACCGGTTGTCACTTCCAAAATATCTGTTTCTTCTAATATTTCATACTTATCATCATTGTCTATACAAATAAAAAGAGTATCGTATAGATAAAAAGCAAAATCATTCAGCTCCAACCTTCAATAAACCAAAAATTTGCATCTTTGAATGGTTTCGGTTCAAAAAGTGTTGTCGAATTGACTTTATTCACTTCCGTTTCTACGGCAGTCTGAAGAGAATATTAGGATAGTAATGAAACAGAAATAAAATTATCTGTCTTACTTGAAGTTTGCCCATTGAATTCATCATGTTACGAATAGTATGTACCATTGCAGGAAGAATTTGAATGGTAATATCTTCAATTTGTACATCGATTTTTTGTTCCGTATTGTTCATCATTAATGCTGTACGAATGTTTACCGGTTGCAAAATCTTTTTATACAGAAATTCAAAGATCAGAAAGATAAAAAGAATGATTCACTTACATTATATTTGCTTTGAGAATCGTTTAATTCAGCAAAATTCGAACCATAAAGTGTCAAATCTTTTAATAAACCAGACACTTGTGTAGTATTATTCACAATGATTATGTGAATCTCCGATTTGACCTAGATAAACGTTTTGTTTAGATATTCGCTGAATATTTTCTGATTTGACTCACATCGAAAACAAAACAACTGGAATTAGTATTATTTTGATCTTCGAGTAAAATGATTTCAGGATTATTGATCATCACTTCAACAAGAATTTTCATGTCGCTGTCAGTTTCAGATGATGTTGGTAGTGGAGCTAAAAGTACAAAAAAACCATTTTCATGAGCAATTAAAATAAAAAAGATATACGCGAACCGATGGGTACTTCGTGAGTAATGCTGGATGGTCGACGATGTATGGATATTGATTTACCTGGTGGTGGTAACTTATAACTACTATCAAATCCTGGTTCGACGGAATATGTCATTGACAGAGGCATTCGTTTTTCATCTGTTGCCGATAAACTTCCAATAAAGAAGTCTTGTAAAGCCATGAAATAATCTGGACTTATACAAATGTAAAAACTCTCCAATTGCACATTGACTACGAAAAAGAATTATTATCAACGTAAGAATTATGAAAATATTTTCTCCTACCTTGTTGAACTCCTTTGGAATGTTGTTCCTCTTTTGGTCTACAGTCTAATTTGACATCAAAAATTGGTGTATTGGAATCAATCTTCGAACTACGATCGATGAGACGAGTAACATTATTCGGTCGATCCGCTTCACGTAGATCATCTAGTATAAGTCCATGTATTTGTGCTTGAGCAGTGTAACTTGAATTGGACAGTTGATGAAAGTGTGCTTCGCATATTTCCAGTCTTAGATCCACAAATTTTAAATTTTCATTACGCGACGTATGCCGGCTTCTGATCTTAGAATCACCGAGATAGAGTTTCAAACCAATTATCTTAATTTTTGCATCAATACGAAGTTGTTCAGTAATTGAACGATCTGGTTGTTTACTATCGATCACTACAACTTTCTCCTGTTTAGATGTTGATCCAGTTTGAACTTTAGTAGAAGGCGGTTTTGATGCCCGTTGCTGAATCGTCTCGGAGAAATTTTCATCCAATACTTTCATAATACAAGCATAATCATCTTTAGCTAGAATAAATTGAATTGTATCCCAATAAGCTTTAATAGATATTTGTGATTGATCAAAGACTTTATCTGGATATAATAAACGATCGATTAAAACATGAAGTTCTGCACATTCAAGTAAATTAATATCCGCAACAATTTCATTAGTTTTGCTTAGATGAACACGACTAGTCAATAGATTTCTCACAGTGACAACTTGTTCTTCTACAAGTAAACTTGTTGGATCATCAGAAAATTTTGTTTGAATAAGTAGTTGACCTAAATCAATGAATAATCCTTCGTGCGAACTAGAATTAATTGGAATTAGTATTGATGGAGCATTGAATGTAGCATCCAAACGTAATTTAAGTGCTTGTTCTTGGAATTTCTCCATTGTTCTCGAGACTGTACTCGGTTGATTTGGATCAGAAGGAGGTTTTTGTACGGATGTTTTCGTTTCCCATATATCGATTATATTCAAGACAAGATCGACATGTTTATAGAGAAAAATAATATTCAGTTTAGTCAATTGCAGTTTTAGATCACAATCAACATCCTCAAGTGTCATTTGGTATTTTTTCGGATAATTATATAGAGATAAATTCATACGTAATAATTGTTTTTCGTTGCCTTGTTGAGAAATAATTTTATGAAAACGTGCTTTAGGATTAGAATCATAGACATAGAAATCAGCGAGAATAATATTCACCGCTGTTTGCTCTTTAGAATTTAAGGCATCAAAATGAAGATCTTGAAAATTAATGTCTAGAATTTGTGAATATTCAGATCCGATAATGGCACGTAATCCTTCGAGATTTGCTTCGAAACGAAATGTTGGTATTGTTGTTCGAGAATCTTTCTTAACAACTTGTTGCGGGGTAGATTTTTTCGCTGGGATTTGATGTTGTTCTTGTGAAATCTTTTCCATTATACTATTTTTGAATTGTACAATAGATACAAATGGTTCTAATTGTAACATCAGTACAGGTTTAGCGATATGTAATCGAGCTTGATTTTCAATACTATTATAAAGAGCTGAATCGAATGATGGATTGACAGATGACGTAAGTAAACCTTGAATACTAATTAAATGTTTGTTTTCTTGATTAGGATGATGTTCGATTGAAACTAAACGAAGTGAAGTATTGCTATTAGTTAGAAATTGTTCGTGAGTAATGTTTAAATCGGTTAGTGAAATATCAAAATCGATATCGAATGTTTTCATCGTTGTTCGAGCGGCAAGTGAAATGATAGAAATATTAACGAATGGTCGAACACATTGAAGTAATTCTGATGTTGTTTCTTCAATCAAAAGATTAACCTAAAAGTGAGATCGTAGAGGGAAAAGAAAATTTGAATACCGGAAACTTACTCGTGAAAGTTCAAATGTAGCTTCGAGTTCGATTACTTGATTTTTCTTGGCGATCTTTTTCGATGCTTGATTATCTATTTCGGTACTAGCCGCTTGTTCTAACATTTTCTGTGCTTGTGCCATATTTTCCACAGTTTCTAAGTTCTTCTTCATATTTTTACGTGGTACATTGACCTGAAAAGTGTTTGTCTACGGCAAAATGATAGATGGATGAAAATATTCAAAACATTTCTATTTACTTGAATACGAATTTCCGTTTCAACATCGTCTTCGTTTGATTCTGGCAATGGAATAGATTGAATAAGTTTCACAAGACCAATCATACGTGTATCAGACACGCGACCATCAATATCAGTAATTTGTATATCGATTTTCCAACTAAAATTATACAATCAAGATTTATTAACATGCATCTCTGAAAATTCTCTAGATAACATACGCGGGTAAGACCATACTGTCTACATGATTACATTTGTGTATATTCAAATAGATTGAAATTGGTTTGATCAAATGGAATGGAGAATCACGTAAAATACGTGCATTATACCAATCATCATCTAAATAAACATAAATATAATAAGTGTAAACATCATGATAATCGTACCTTGATTAGCATAGAGTAATTGAATGTCCTCCAGCTTCAGATTTAATGGAAAATAGGTTGATTGAGGAGTATCAGAAATAACCTAAAATAGAAATGAATTGATCATGAAAATAAGATCATCTTTATCATACTGTAATATCTTGAGATGATATTTCTGCTTCTATTTCACTGTAACTTGGACCACCTTTGAATGTGAAATGACCAAAATCTAAACACATAATTGTACAACCACTAGAAAAACAAAAAAAAATGATTTTCACATTACAATATCTATTATGTCCTACCGTTGATGTATGCCATTTTCAGGTAAGAGAAAATAAGAAGATTGAAGGTCTATATCAATATCTGTTGCTTGAATATTTTTCAAAGAATGATTGAAGAAAAAATGTGATTGATATTTAACATCATCAAATGTCGAATAAGCAACTTCTTTGATCCTGAAAGATATTATCAAGAAAAACTATGAAATAGAATGACATGTCTCTACCCTTGTAAGTTGCGCTTCTTATCAGGTTGAAAACAGTCAACAATTTTGTTCACTGTGAACTAATATAAAGAAAAAAATCAATAAAAACAACGTTCAGTACTCCAGATATACCATACCGCATCGTATGTGATTGCTAATGATTGTAAAAGGATTTGAATGCGATTGTCTGAGGGTTTATCAACTGGATTAGTTTCATATTCGATATGTAAAAGATTTTTTTGTTCTAATTGAGTGCGCTGTTCAACAAGAACTGGGCGATTATCACCGAGTTGTTGAACGCCAAATACTTGACAGGTAGTTAAATCAGCGATAATTCTATTCAAAATAAAAGCACTTAGAAAAGGTAGAATGGGTAGTTACTCACAGAAAAGCTGGTTTAGCTGGACGGCGTTTGAAATTCAACCCTGCATCAGGTATTACGACAGTCGCAATAACTTTGAATCTACAGAAATCATTCAATCAGATATAATCAATGCGTATTACTTACTGTGTGTCATTGTCGTTAATATTTGACCAGACATTGAGTTCTAGCATATGTAATCGAACTGATAGATCGATATCAACATACTAAAATTCAAATATTAATAATAAAATACTGTATAAAAAGAGAAATTTACTTCTTCAGGATAATTCAATGATCTTTTGTCTTCGGAATACCCAATAGCATCGTATAACTTCTTTTTTTCATTAGCCATCATTGCACTATCAAGTGTGAATTCTACGACAAGAAAATTTTATAATCACATCGAACAGCAAAAATCTACCTGAATTCTCTTGTCTTGAATCATGCTTCAACAATCTAGTAAATCTGTTCCACCGAGATCGTTCTTTATGTTCAGTTTTCTTTTTGATAATCTATCAAATATGATTTATAAAAACAAACCAATTAAAAGCAATATAGATTTTTACTTCGATTTCTGTTCTTCGACGAATATAAATTAAATTAAACACATCAATCTTTTTCTCCAATTTCTAAAATATAAAATGTGCCAAAGTTTGTTTTTTTTCAATAATCATACTTCAGCATGATGTTGTAGTTTCTTGCTATTATGACCATCCAGTATGTGGAAATAAACTTTATGATACTCACGAACTCGATCACGATGCGACTTAATATTTTCCCATTTGTACGATGACAATCGTGGACGAATTTCTTCATGTAAAATCGCCATATAGGCGAATTTCCATCTATGAAAAAACGCATCAATGTTCTACTAAATCATTTCATCATTCTCTCACCGACGTAAACTTGGCTTATCGGTTGTTTCGTTACCGATTATTGCATAATATTTGATGAATTTTGATTTTAAATCCATCTGATCTTGAAATTCTAATAGATCAAGTAAATCCGAATACTGAAAAGAAAATATTTGATTAACTTCATGATATACATATTATCTATCTCCTCACTTGATTACGATCAATATTAAAACTTATTTGTTCTAGATCAACCTGTGCATCGACAACTGGTCGAACATAATGTTGTTCACTAGACGCTGTAGCAATTTTTAATTTTGCTTGGATATTTAATGGTCGAAGAACTAAACAAATGATTGACTTTCATGAAGAAAGAATATTTAAGAAGAAGAGACTCGTACTATAAGTCAATTGTTTGTCTGATTTTGATTCATGGTCGATAATATTTATTTGTAGAAAATCCTAGATTAATCAAAAAATGAGACATAATCGAATGAAGGAAAAGAAACTTACATCAATATCTTCTGATTTGAATTCTAATCGAGTTTTTGTATTCGAATTCCAATAAATCGATAATTTATTCAATTCACCAACTTTATACATAACGGGTGCATCTTTTTTTTCTACCAGAGGTTCCCATTCAACATTAGTTGTCTGAGGAAAAGAAAAAAATATGGGGAATTTTCAAATGAGAAAGTAGAGTCTGATATATACGAAAAGTTTGATATAATTAAATGTAATACCAAATGCAAATGGACATTCAGGTTTGGTGACTTCATCTTCAAAAGCAATATGAAAATTACTGATCGATAATTCTAAATTACGAAGAATATGAATTTCTAATCGTTCGAAAAATGTATCTTTGTGCTTGGTGATTTTCTGAGAATTTTCTAATAAATAAAGAAGAAAATTTTTCGTATCTTAGATAGATTTTTATCTTACGATATTCTTCTCGTTGTTTACGAAATTGTTCGATTTTATGTACTTCTTTCATTTTCGATTCGTATTGGTTTTGTTCTTCTCGTTCACGATCATATTTAATATCTAAAAAAAATATACAAATCGATAGAATATGTTCCATCAACAAACAAACCAGTTTTCGGGGTAAGAAGAAGGTAGACACCATCGATATGTATTTTAGTTGGATGAGTATGGATATGTTGCCATGGAATATGCATTGATAATTCATCTAAATATTTTATATTTTTATTTTAGAATAAATAGAATTTAATAAGAATTTACGTAGGTAACTAGTGGCAACATTAAAAGGAAGATCGAGATTGGCCTATAAGTATGAAAAATAATATTTTGATGAATATTTCGTATGAACAAAACTTACCAATGCATCGCGCTTGAGAGATAAATTTTTAAGAACTAAATTGCCTGTAAGAAAATATTATTATAAGAGATTTTTACCCATTAAGATACTTACCGTGACATAAACTAATTTGCAACTGTTTTGTATCTAAATTCTCAATATAATCTCCTAGATATTTATTAAGAAAATAAACAGCTAAATGTGCGAACACCATTCTAATAACTTCTAAAACAATATGAATCTAAAAAAGTGAAGAATATTTCCTCGCAATGAACATATCATATTTATATAGCCCCCTATACCTTTACTGTTCTTTTTTATTCATCTGAAAATGCGACGACTGGTCGTTTATTTCGAAATAGACACGTCGATGCATGTGGCTCAAACGAAAGAAATTATTCAGAACGCATAGAACGAAAAAAAAATAATGTACAACGTGCTAGTAAAACCCTGTTTTACAAGGATAAATGTATATTCGAAGCGATGTAAAAACACAATAAATAGTAAAAGGAAACATAATGACTGATCGTCATAGAAGGCTGGCTGTATCGAAACAAAAAAAATATTCTATACGCTCTTTGTTTCGTAACAAACTAATAAATATTATTTTTGTTTTGCTATACTTTAAATAACAAGAGAAAATCTAATAGCTTGAAAAGTGAATTATGAATATTTATGAATAGATTGATATGATGAGAAAATAATTTTATATAATTTGAATGTATTTTAAATCAATCGATTTTGATGTGTTCATTATCAAAGAAGAATATCATTAGACTCAAAATATTGGTATAGTTAATTCCATACAAATATTATTTTAACGTAAGAACCAAAATGTAAGATGACCTCGTTATAAAAAAACTCAGTAGCCATCTATAAAGATCTCTTTTCTATGTTTGATATCTCATCGATGTTTTAATATTTTATTTGGTTTTTTCCATTTTGTACACGATAAATATCAAAATAACTCTCATACAAACAAAAGGAAAAAGCCAATGTTTTTTATCTTTCGATGTTGTGACGTTATCAAATACTTAAAGATACACTATAAAAACACTATGCATAGTTATCAGTCACTTTAGTTACATTTTATTCAAACCATTGACTACAAAAAAAATCAAATGGAAGCAAATAACAATGTTGACGATATTCCTACTGCGGAACAAGTGAAGAATCTGTTAGAATATCTCGATATTTTATATCCTGAAGGCAAACCAATCCTTCCAGAATACAACTCATCCACTGGATCTACTTTCTACGAAGATGAAGTCTATAAATTCATTACTCTGCTGACTACAGATGGTTGGAAAACAGTTTATAATGCAATCGAAACTCATCGTATTATGGGCGATCCTGAAAAAATTCGTAATGCTACCTGGCATGAAATTAAAAGTATTTTCTCGTCTTGTAGATACGGTGAGCGTATCTGTACCGGATACTTCGGTGGTGCAATTAAAAGTGGACTTATACAGCGTGTACTTCTCAGAGTGAAAGAACTGGCACAACAATAATTACATTTTCAACACTATGAAATATTTTATAATTCCCATAATAAAAACTAAATGATTATTTGTAGCATTTAACAGATTTTTTTTTGCGCTGTTCGATGTACTTAGAATAAAAAAATATAATTTCATGATGATATCTATAACTACTATCACAAGAGAAATTTGATAGAGAACATTCAAGTTTAACAATCGGTGATAATTTTTATCGTCTTTGTCTAAAGGTCATAGTTATGAATCGGATTACATCATTTATTGCCGCTGCTAATATTTATTTGCGGATTTATTCTAATTTTTTTGTTTCTAGTAAATTATATGATTAAGTTAGATAAATCTAATGATCACAAAACGAAATTTTATTTGGAATTTCTATGTCAAAGTTTTGTTATTCATATCAAACGTTCATGAGAATGAGTTTAAATCTAACTATGATCCGTAATTGTATAATTAGATCGTAAAAAAGAATTTTTTTCAAAAGTAGCTTAGACGCTTATTTTTCAACCTAAGTAAAGTTGGCGCCATATTGGAGTATTTCTTGTCTGTATTCACGCGAAAATATGTACTGTGTCTGAAAATGATTGTGTTGAATTCAGAATTTAATTCTCTGTCCATTGATGTTATTCTCGAAGGAGACTGTCGCGAGGTAACCCACACTCTGATCCTCGTCTCCACCGATTCTCCTCGAGAATAGCATCATTGGGTAGGGAATTTAGTTTTGAATTTAACATAACCATTTTTAGGCTGAGCATAAGTCATTGAGCGAATCCGGACAAGAAGTACTCTAATATGGTGCTAAATTTACTTACATTGTAATTCATTTTTTTGGTATCATGTATAGCCATATTATTTGATATGATTTTTAAAATAAAAAAATACAATGTCATCAGTTTTTTTTTTATTTTATATAATGATATTTCATTTGATCAAAAGAAAAAATAACGAAAAGTAGAAGCATGTCGATATGCGAATATAAAATAGATTTATTTCATTTTTTGTCAATTGACTCTAGAAAGTAATTCAATAGCCAAATATAAAACCCCAATTCTTTTAATAGTATAATATGGTATACAAAATAATGATATTCAAATTTTTTTTTTAAATTTTACATAATCAGAAAGAAAAAATTTAACAAATAGTTTTCATAATTCTTGTTTATAAATTGTCTATGCAGTTAACAAGAGCAGTGGGCGGGTTGGGTGGTTAAAAGAACTTTAATTTCAATTTGATGGCTGAATATAATTAATTATAGTTTTTTTCATGTAAAAGAGGCACGCCTCGTGAATATTGTTTACGACAGTAAATCCAGTATGCGGTTTTAATGCAGAGAGATCTGAAATTATTTCTTTTCTTTTTCAATAAAATCTAGTTTTAAATGCATATACATGGCCATCAAATATTTTTCATATGATAAGAATTGCATGAATGTGTCTTAAAATAACATGTAATTAAATATCTTACTTGGTTTCTTCCATTTTGTACATGATAAATATCAAAATAACTCTAATATGAACAAAAGGAAAAAAACAGCTATATTATCTTTTGATGTTGTGACGTTATCGAATATTTAAAGATACGCTATAAAAACTCTATGCATTGTTATCAGTCACTCTAGTTACATTCTATTCAAACCATTGACTACAAAAAAATCAAATGGAAACAAATAACAATGTTGACGATATTCCTACTGCGGAACAAGTGAAGAATCTGTTAGAATATCTCGATATTTTATATCCTGGAGGCAAACCAATCCTTCCAGAATACAACTCACCCACTGGATCTACTTTCTACGAAGATGAAGTCTATAAATTCATTACTCTGCTGACTACAGATGGTTGGAAAACAGTTTATAATGCAATCGAAACTCATCGTATTATGAGAGATCCAGAAAAAATTCGTAATGCTACCTGGCATGAAATTAAAAGTATTTTCTCGTCTTGTAGATACGGTGAACGTATTTGTACCGGATTCTTCGGTGGTGCAATTAAAAGTGGACTTATACAGCGTGTACTTCTCAGAGTGAAAGAACTGGCACAACAATAATTACATTTTCAACACTATGAAATATTTTATAATTCCCATAATACAAAATAAACGATTATTTGTAGCATTTAACAGATTTTTTTGCACTGTTCGATGTGCTTAGCATAAAAAACATATGTAACTATTATTACAAGGGAAATTTTATAGATAAGAGAATCGGTATGTTTGCTATTTGTATTATGAATGACTCATTAGCAATATATTCTTTCGAATGTTTTATTTCATGTACACATTAAAGAAGCATTGTGTATGTTATTCTAATATATTTTTTAAAGATTTATACAAAATGTGTTAATCGGATATAATAGAATATTATTAAAAAGCGTAATATCGGTATTGATTCGAAAAATGGATCATGAAAAGATTTTAATAATGTAAAACCGGTTGATTGAATAGATGGTGGTGAACTTTCAGAACAAATATTTGATAAAAAATGATTTTTTTTCTAAGTGATTATTATTTATTTTAATCAAACTGATACCCAGATTTTTCTTTCATATTATGATCAAATCTAGAATAGTGATTAGAAGCGACGGTTTACTCTTTAAACATAAGGATATGTATATAATCAATAGATAATAGATAAATCTTTATATCAACAACAACTTCGACTTTCTTCTCTTCTTCACTCTCATATCCATATTTAATGAAAATGTTGTAAACTAAATAGATCATAATATAAAAGAGATGTATATTTGTAAGATCAGTAGCAAAACGACCATGAGGATCAACACTAACCATCATATGTAACATTCGATATTTTTCAAAGAACACGGTCTCCTTCACAAAAATTTCATTGGTATTATTTTCAACTAAAAATAGTGTAAAAATTGGAAGACTCAACAGGATATAAGTTCGCATAATATATGATATTAGATTATAACATGTCTACATATCTGTTGATTTGTTCATTGTGATTCACACAACTAAACAATACAAAATGAGTAAATGTATTTACCTTATATTTGAGTGACGTTCGAATAAAAATAAATATTTAAAAAAATATTCTATAGCCGTCACACGGTGTTTCTTTTTTTTATTTGAATTAAGATCAAACTTGTAGATGATTAATCGAGAGTTACAATGTTTAGACGATATTTAATATTTCTCAAATACATTCTAACCCATGTATTGAAACTGCGCACGTGATTCGGTCGTCATAATCAGAACTTCACTGGTACCCATTACGCCTGTGTCTGTCAGAGAAGAAATAATGAGCTCAAATTAGTACTCATAATTCCTTTAAAGATAATAGAGATGAAAGAAATACAGATAAATCGCTTTATTATCTCACCGATGACTAATTAAAGCAGGAGTATTTGATATGAATCATTGATATTTACTCGTCTGATATCAATGACGTGAGCAGAACCATATATTATGATTTATCTGACGCTGATGTTGTCCTTGGATACTGTTGAGAAAGAGAAAATAATAAAAACACGTCCTGGTTAGTAATATTATTGACAAAAGACAAGCAGAGAAAGTATGTCATCGCTTATATAAAAGAGCAGATAGAGTTTTTGCTTTTGCATTGTAAAAGGTAACCTTATATGATGCGTTGTTATTTAACTCTCTATTCGATTTTAATTTTCTCAATCTTACTTCTAAACCGATCGGTGGAATCAATTCAATGTTCAAAAAATTGTACTTTTTCACAATTACCAATGAATTCATCATTTTCTTCAGATCTTTGCTCGTCATCAAATGAATCAAATAATGATACTAATGCACAATGTGAAGTTAAACTATCAATCGATCTTAATAATAATTTAGTCAATGGATCATTTGATTTTAATATAAAACCATTATGGCAGCACAATGAGCTTGAAATTATAACATTCTTCTCGCTCACTGATACTTCAGTAAAAATTGACATCAATTATACATGTTCAATATCTGATAATTGTGATATCGAATTCGTACGTCAAACATTAACGTCAAAATTGGCTTCATTGCAATTAGAATCTGTTCGACAAACACTTGCTAATCGTCTTTATAATTCAACGAATACTCGTTACATCCTGTGTTCAAACAAAGGCTTCTGTTCACCAAATACTAGCTTCTGTCATGGTATGTATACGCGTCAGAATGCTACTTATAGTGATCAAGAGGATGTTAGAAGGGGATGTCTTCTATCAATCGATTCGCTGAATGTAACTTGGACTCAGACGTACACGCCTTATACAAGATATGGTCTGATAAATACTGGTTCATATTATTGTAACATTCCGATGTGTGCATCAGATAGTGTAATTCTTGAAACTTTTCAATGGTTAACTATTAACTATACTTTGCCTGTAAATGTATCAGTACTTGATATAATAACTCCTCATCCACCGACAACAACAACTACTACTATTTCAACAACAACAACAACTCCAAACCATGGTTCATATTTATTTGGACATATTAGCATTGCTGTTCTATATTTTGTAATAACTCTTTTTTTCATATAAAAATTTTTGTCCAATTCTTTAACAAAAGTATTGCTCTCATGAATTTATGCTTTACAGATATTGGTTTTATGCTCTTGACTCTTTCTTATTAACATATGTATTCTAACAAATATTTTAATTTAATATAAAAACAGATGTACAAGATGTTATCATTTGTCAAAGTAATCGATAGTTGGACGCTAGAGAAACTCCAAGTTTGTGGTGATGCACGTAGAGGCATTCTCTTGACATTTGAAACCACGAGAATGTATTAAAAGTCAGGAAAAGTCGATTACCGAATTAGAGAGCAGAATAATTTTACTTTAATGATTGCATAGTATTCAAGATCTTATTTTTAATTTATGTAGAGACATATAACGGAAAAAACTATGCTGCAAACAACATCGATGACTAGCTAGCACAATGATTAATCAACTATCACATATAACTAACCAATAGAAAAAAAAAGCATGAAGTATCATTATGAATCAATAAAATATCAAATATATTTTCCTTAGTTACGTGAGCTCATTCTAGTCCTATATGAATCACATTATTCATATTTCATTCCCAACGACAATTTTAAACATCAGTAAACCTGAAACATGAATTCCAGAATTTCAGACGTCCAGTAAAATGAAAAATTATGCTATCGCCTATTCTATACTTGTATTCTCTAAAGTATTTTCCATTATTCTAAACATGTTTTTCCGATACAGAATCGAATAGTATTACTTTCACAATCGAGACATATTTGTGAAAGAAGCTATATGATTTTTAATGAAGTACCATCATTAAGAAACAATTTCTCGCAAAGTACTGTAGTTTTTGTGTCACTTTATACACGCTTATCAGATGTAGAATTCAATTTTCTATCTTATGTTAGCCATAGTATTCATGAGACCTATTTGAGAAAGTAGATACAGCATCACCACCATCTTGAGGATGTTGATGCGGCTGATATATCATTCTCACATCCACACCCACCTTCAAACCATTAAAATATTATCGATAAGTTTCTTATTGTATTAGTCTGAATGCATTTTCAATCGACATCTACTGTCATTGATGATACTAGATTCCTATTCTAATGATTTTAATCAGTTAGATTAATTAAAAGCAAGAAAGAGATCACAGATTTGTAATACAAAGTGATTACTTTAAGAAATTGATTGTAGCCTTCGTTTGAATCAAAAACAACGAGAATTTTTGTAGTAGTCGATAAAAAACTTGCTACATGAATGTTTGTAACATATGAAGCAAAATACGATGATGATGATGTGGCGTTTTCACTTTGTTTGTAGCGCATAATCTTTTTCCTTTCTTTGTTCTGTTGTGTTTGCATTGAGACTATTTTCTCATTCTACCTTTGACAAGCATAATTTGAGTATGTGTAACGATGACATGGCACATTTTAGCAGAGAAAGAATAAAGAGAAATACAAGCACATATATAAAGCATATGCATAGAAAAGAATAACTGAGTTTGACATACATTTAACTTCATCTGTATTGTTATTTTTCAACGTTTAATTTTTTCCGTTGTCGAATCTTTTATATCTCAATGAGTTCCAAAACCGTATTTTCAACACTCTACGAAACTATGCGCTACTATCATAGTAGTCATGAGAAGCAACTATTATCAATGCAACAACAATGTAAACAAATCAAAACTATTGCAGATCTACACCGTCTAGCTTCAGATAT